ATGATATATGTTCTCAATAGTAGCTTCATGAGGGTACAATAGAAGGAAATCTCTCCATTCTTCGAAAGTGATAATTCCATTATTGTCCTTATCAACATGCTCAACAAAACGGGCAAGCTCCTCATCATTAATTTCAATCCCTGAAAAGTACAAACTGCCAGGGCTTATAAGATGAAAACAACTATTTGGTTTTATTATGGGTTGCCAATCTGTCTACCTGAAGCCTTTATAAAAAAATGAATCACGTTGAACATGAACTTATTGTATTTGCATTACTTATAAAGAAAGAAAATAGCAAAAGCAGAGATATCATACCAAGAAAGCTACTGTAATGTAGAAAATCGACCCATAGCTTCTAAATCTATGAAATCCACAAACTAAGAATATACTAAATAAAAAGCTAGAAACCAAAACCACAGAAGAAAATAAATGGACAAGGAAGTGTTAGATATATCAATAGAACATTGTGTCAAATTCAAAAATTTCACTGCACATGCAAATGCCCCATTGATGACAAATCATCATAATTTCTAATTTTAGCACATGTTTTCTATAAAGTAAGGTGATAAAATTCCAAGTTTCACATTATTCTGTCTGCTTGTTGTTGGAACTAGCAAGCCAAAAGAGAGGAAGTGGGCTCTACTGAATAATTATCAGAAACACAAATGGCAAATGACATTTACAAGATTAGATATTTATCCCAGGTTTATAAGAAAAGGCAGCCAGCTATAACTATAAAGGATGGGATGGGACTAAAGGCTAATTCTGTCAATCAAAATTCCCAAAGAACCATCACCAGATCCAATTACAAGATTATTTTTAGTTAATTAAAAGTTCAAAACTTAATTGGATGACATCCTAAACAAGAAAAGGAATAGCAGTCACCTTACAAACACCATCAGGCAAGAGGTAGATTTCATTACAATCTGGGCAAATTGTGTTTAAAATACATGCTATCTACACCTCAAATTTCCTTAGTCATTAATTCCCCAGTGATAGGACCATTGCAGCCACAAGAATCATAAAACAAACCGTCCAATCTCCCAATGCAAATGCTTGTATTAATAGTGACTTATAAACACTTATAAAGAAAATGCAAGTCTCCAATTAAAATGCAAATATGATCAACCTAATATGTGCACCTAGCTCATAACAAGACTGGAACACACGGAAAATGAAAAGCCAACAACAGAATCATGAAAAGCATAGTATACCAGCCTTAACTAGCGCATCCCAAAGCTCCTCAGGCAAAATGCATCCGTTATGCTCCACATCAATGGCTTGAAAAATCCTATAAAGCTCAAGCTCCTTATCATCCATATACCTCTTAAACTCTTGATAATCCACACGCCCATCTCTGTTAGCATCACAAACTTTTAACAGATCCCTTGCATACTTGTATCCAGCCGGAATCTGTAAAGCAGACAGACCCTTCTCGATCTGGGCATAATCCAAAAATCCAACATTAGCTGCATCAAAGAAATTGAACAAACTCCTGATCCTCAACTCCCTCTCTTCCTTGGTCTCACGCGATGCCAAGAGAACATGATCCATAGAAACCGGTCCAGCTTTCTTGACCGGATTGCAACACCCTGGCTTGGACTTGGCCTCCATGCCTGGTTTGGACTTGGCCTCCATCTTGGGCAAGCCAACATGGTCCACAGCCTGCCCTGCAGCCCCGCACATAACAACAATAACAATACAACAACCTGAACAAATTCACCTTGTTTTTTCTTTTGGTAAAATACCTCTTTCTGGGATTGTTCACAGGAAGCAAAAGGAGAGATCTACCTTCAATATTGACCCAAAAAACCCAGAAAAAAAAATCTCTTTTTTATTCTTTTTCTAAGGACGACCAATACACTCAGATACAAAAACAAGGAAGGATCAAAATTTTGACTAGAATAAGTGAAAGGGAGGACAAAGATGGGGACTACGGTGAGTCAAAAAGGGAAAAAAATGAGTCAAAATTCCAATCCCAATGAAATTGACACAGTTTCCTTTCATGGGGTCGATTTAATTCCCAGGAAACAATCAATCAATCAAGAATACTGGACTTACATGGATTGAATGGCCGGTTTTCCAAAAAAACCGGCTCAGAGCATGGGTGGGAATAGATAGATACAAACGTGCAAGATCAGAGAAGTGGATGTTGTAGATAATGAGATGGCATCATGAATTGGCCCCAAAAATCTATACCCTCCATTGATTTTTTTGGAGAAACAAGAAGGATTTGAATATAGAATGGTGCTTCAGGAAAGTCGAAGCAAGAGAATTCACAAACAGGATATTCGCTGGTCAGTGTTGTGGAAATCATTTTTATTTTCACTTTTCTTTTATTACAATATCTTAGCATGAGCTGGATTCTGTTTGAGCTCTGTCTTACTGTGTGCGTGGTTTTTCTTTTTTTTTTCTGTTTTTTTACTAATATTTAATTAATTTTATTTAGAAAACTAAGCGATATGATAGATTATTTTTATGTTTTTATTATTTTGATTGTATAATAAAATGTCTCTTATCTTTTATCTTATTTCACTCATATATCATGTGACTTAAATTCAAAATTTTTTATTTTCAACAAAAAAAATTACTATTAAACTATTTATATCGTTAATAGTAATACGTAGGTTTTTAAAATGAGATTTTTGTTTATTAGCTTAATTTATAAAAAAAAAATGCTATTAATAGAAAAAAAGAAACTCAAAACTATAATATTTTAACAAAATATTATA